CACATTATATGGGCTACACTAACGTGACGTTTAGGCGATTCGTTTAACTATTATACGTGATGTACGTTTTTTTTTTGGGGGGGGGGGGGTAATGAAAGTGTTTCAAAACGCGACATTAATTTCTTGATGACCTAATAATTCACTTAACTAACTCTTATCAGAATAACTTACTTTGTGGTATATTGTAAGACTTTAATTGAAAATAGTAAAAAACTGACATTAGTTTACCAAAGTCTGCTGACAAGCATGGTATGAAGTTTGTTTTAAAGCTGAGATATTTATAATAAGAATGGAGAATCAGGGATAAACCACTGAAAATACAAAAAACAAGATGACTAGAATATTGTTTGTAGAACTACTTTGTGAATTCTTATTTGTGTAACCGATAAAAAATATTACTTTGCAAATGGCAAATTAATATACTATAAAGAAACTAGTTGTTTGTAAGATTTAATGTGATGAGACACAATAGAAGCATATAACAGTGGGGAGGGAAATAACTAAAGTGTGAAGAAATAGGAAAGCAACAAATTTCCAGTATAAACAAAAATACAATGTGTATCCGTGCATTGTTTTATTTTGTTATATACAGTAAACGTGGTCCTTATTTACATTTAATTCTCTAATATTTTTATTTTCATTTAACTTTGATAGACAGAATATTCTAATATATGTACAATAAAACCCCAGTTTTCTCGAAGGGTTTGTTTAAAAAACCACTGAAAGGACACTAGACAGAAATAATAATAATTACTATAAAAATGCAAGGAAATATCACAAGTTAGGTCTAATGGGCTAGGAGGTTCTTGCTTAACTATATAGCTTGGAAACACCCTTAAACCTAAAGCCATAAAATATCTCCATCTCTTCATCAGCTAAGTACTTCCAGCTAAATATTTCTAGTTATGGGACTTTTGACCCATTGAACATTTCATTAAAAACAACAACGAAACGAGTATTGATACATAAAGTGCAAGTTAAATACGTGTTACGTCTGTGCTCGTTTGTTAATTTTTCGTAGAAATTCTTTCCGAGAAACTTCAGCGATACAAGTCGTTTTTTTAAATAAAACTAGTTTATTCTTTCTCAATTCAACTTTGCGATACACTTAATTTCCACAGTCACTTTAACTTAAACACATGCTAGAATTCACAACGATTCACGCACTTTACTCACGGCTTGACTCGATTATCTGTCTCTATATCTCTCTGTCTGCAATTCAATTCCGAATGAATGTCTCCTTTATCTGGCGCGCTTATATACAATAAAAGCGCGGGCGTAGCACGTACTAGCCTCTTCGCGAATCTTCTAGACACTCATCACGTGTTACCAGAGTCACATAACTTCCGCTGTCGTAACATACGTATTTACCAACTTTAAGTCGACCATTCCTAATAAGAACTTTATGTTAAGGTCAGAAAATCTGATAAAAGTGAGGCGGTTAAAGATATTGATATAAGCGTCTAAACTGAAAAAAAAGAAGAAAGTTACACATAAACATTCATCCGCCACTTTACTGCAATAGAATCGTTTGAGTAATTGTTAAAATATTTTGATGCTATTGTTGGTGACAAAGATAGGTGTAATTTGATAAAATGCATGGCTTTTTTGTTTAACCTATAACTGAGAAGATAAAGCGTGACATTAACCGATACTGTTGTTTTCAACTAGATCATCTATTGTTATGATAAAAATCATATTAAACTGTAGATTTTTTTATTATCACCTTATTTTGCATATTAAGAATTTCAAATTATAGGTGTGTGTAGAAATAGATTTCGGCCCTATCTTTTTTCTGCTACAAGTTAAGTTAAGGAGACCATTCGTCAACACCGAAACTCATCAGCTAGGATAAACTATGATAGCCCAAAAAAATCATCTCACGCGCCATCTATTTATGGAGTAAAAACTAATGTTACGGTTTTGAATGCTGACAGCTAAGGCATCACTGAAAATCAATAGCCGAATAATTAGAAATGATATATTACCTTCATACAACCTTTGTTTAATAGATGCTTATCACCTCCAATTAATAGACAAACAAAGAAAATATATGTTTTAAAGAATAAATAAACTGAACTTTTTTGTCGGTTAACAAGCAAATAAGGGGCGCGATATATTAAAATGTGATATCTCTTCTATGAAGGCAATGATACCGAATCTTTCTTACTGATATCCTATAGAAACATTTCATCGTATATGTGAAGACAAACAAACCTAACGCTTACTGTTTTTTAACACGGTTTCAGGTTACAGAGACTGGTACATCCCAAGAAACGTCTTTCCATAAATATTCTGGACTTTTCAGATTAATAATCTTCGTTTATCGTTTTCTATGTAGTACCCCCAAGTTTTCAAAGGTGAAGTTCCAGATCAGGAAAAGGAACAAAATTTTAAAACTGCTTTGGGATACCTAGAAGGATATCTGGAAAAGTCAACATACGTGGCTGGAGACAAGCTTACTCTGGCTGACATCTCCATAATAGCTTCACTCTCAATGATGGATGTAAGTTTCATATCAAAAGTAGCGATAAACCCTTCAAGTTATTTATGGAGATTTCTTGGTGATAATGTTAAACTGTACTTTGTTGTTATCCAGTGCCATAAAATATAGTACACATCTAATTATACATTAAGTCATTCTACCGATAGGCATGTACACGTGTCATTGTTTGATTTGATTGTCCAAATTGTTAAGCTCATCTAGAATATTATGTATGCATACATTTTATAGTTAACAAAATATCTGTCAAAAAAGAGATTCTATTGCCTGGTAAGCTAATGTTGATCATCAATCAGTTTGGACAATTTCAAAGCAAAGTATTTTCACTATTTTGTATGCAATAATTAAACAGGGCCCAACTAAACTTAAACTGACAGAGTTTTGGCTTTTTAGTTTGATTTATATCTTTTTTCCAATTCCGCGTATGAACCCTTTTTTGTTTATTTGTTGCATTTGGTATTCGTATAATTTTCTCGATGTTGTTAAGTCATTGTTTGTTGTATTATTGCGTAGATGATGGTGATGTTGTAAAAGTTTAAAAAAAGTTAACGCATGGAAAAAAATGTTTTTAATCCATGAGAATTGTTGTATCGTTGAATTTTAGTTATGTTTTATATATTGATACACCACTTTTTCATTTCAACAGGTACTGGATTATGAATACGGCAGTTATCCTAAAATCTCTGTCTGGATGGCCAAAGTTAAAGAAGAAATTCCAGACTATAAAACTACGAATGACGAACCTATTCAAGCATTCAAGGCCTGGGTGAAGTCTAAACAAACATAGTAAAGATGTCGTTCAACTTAGAACGTTAAAGTGATTTACTGTAAGGGCCATTGAAATAATAATAATAATAATAAATGTATGTGGACATTTTTTGCAAACAGATGAATGCTTGAATTATCATTCCACACACTTAAAGTTATCGAACTGAAAGTCATTATAATGACGGTGAATGACTGGGATGTACTTTATGATAACAAGCAAGAACACCACGGTCACTATTGTGTAATATTCCGTCTTTCCCATAGAGTAAGAGTAAGGTCTGCTAAACAGAAAATTCAACAGGTATAATATTATGAAGTACAGGTTAATTTGTTTTTGTTGGAATCCGACTGAGTCCGTCAACAAAGAAAGAGTCAGTACAAAAACTGCACAACAACAGTCTTTATTAAGGTAAACACAAATGAGGCACAAAAACAATACACTGATACAAAGGTAGGTGTCTGTATGGATGTGTTGAACCAGTGAGAAACGGGTAGAAAACCTTTAATGTTTTTTTCGCTAGTCCAGTGTGAGCCCCTTTGTAAGCTACACTAAAATAAGGTTAAAAAATCATGAAAATATTCACAGTTATAACAAATTAAACTGGTATGAAATTAAGTTTAAAAAAGCTCTAAATCTGAGAAAAATCTCAGGAAACACTAATCTGCTTAAATCTCTACAAAAAGCTGAAATCTCATCTAAAATCTAACAGGCGAGCATCTGACTTAAAGAACAAAATACGATAACAAAACTAGGATGCTCACTCCATGCTCCTCGTACACTTGACCTAGAGCCATATGATTTGAGTGTAGGGACTTATACATTCTGGGTCATTAAACGATTAGCTGACAGAAAAAGACAGCCATCCAATCCAAGTCTCAAGACATCACAGTGAAGTAAAAGCTATTTTCCCTGCAAAAGATTACACTAATGACCAATTAGTGAATTCAAGTCCCGTGTGCAGCTAGATTAAGAAATCGTGTTGTCTACTTGGGCGACTTGCTGCATTCAAACTAAACTGAAAGAAAAACAGAAAGTTAACATGTGAATTTTTCAAAACAAGTGGGCAGCTAACTAATGGTACTGGCTTGTATCGTAATGTTATTTTGCTGCATAATTTAGTATCACATTACTGCATAGTCATAACATCTTGATTTTTCTAGAGACTTGGGGAAATAAAAATATTGTATAAACATCAGTAACTTATTGACTAAATAACCAGACAGTTAATTAGTTCAGTGCTGGATACTTTGTTGATTTTGTGCCATAAATACAAGGGGAAATTTAACAAATAAGTAACTATCGAGTTTTATTTGTGAGTTAGACCTTTCACTTGGTTATCATTATTTCATGAAACCATGTAACTTATAAACCTTATCATTAACCCATGGGGTGGGGGGTGGGGACTTTCAGTTCAAAAACTAAAATGCTTTACTTTTCATTAAGTGGATTGGATTTTGCATTATATATATATCAAATAATAAAAAGTAACTTTCCCAATGATAGAAATCGTTACAGGCTAATGTTAGGAGTGAGATTATTTGGGTGAAAATAAAATAGAATCTAGATTAAACTTCAAGATCATGACACTTGCTCAAAGTGAGATGAAAAGAAGAACAAGATTTCAATACTTCATTGGTGTCACTTTGAATATATCCAACAGCTTATTCGATCTTGTTTTCAATGCAATTTATTTTTGTTCTTAATTCTTCTTTAACTATGATGTTTTTCTTTTAATTAATTTTCTAAATTTCTGCCTATTACCTTTTGATCTTCTTTTAAGTTTCTATAAATTTCTTCTTGTTCTTTTAATCTTCTTTCAATTTAATTTTGGTCTTCTTTTAAGGCACTATCTAATTTTGACGTCTAAAAATGCAGAGAGAATATAACAAATTCAATGAGGTAGAAAGCAATACCGGTGACAAAATAAAACATCTGGAAAATAAATTTCTAAATGCAAAGTTGAAACCAACCACACTTCTCTCTGCATCTGCTCAAGAATTTCAAACCAAAACACAATTAACCACCTGTTCAACAATTAACAGTGTCACTACTGTGACAACTATGACTACAAAATATTTCTGGACTACTTCAGATATATCACTACCTCATCAAGTTCCAGAATTTATTAGACTGGTTGAACAACATTCCTCAATAGTAAAAAGAACTGACTATGACACAAAGTTACTATGGGAGGCATATATGGCTCTGTTAGAAATCATTTCCAAAGTGAATGGAAGAAACAGTGTACAACAGAGTATTCATTCTGTTGCTCATTTAAATGGACCAGCTTTAACAACGCTAAACAACCTTCAGCTGAGAAGTAACAACTATATCAAGCATTGGTGGTTGCCTTATGAAAGAGGCTTGAAATTAAACACCAGAAAGAAGTTTCCAAAGCAAAATTTAGGAGCAGAGTAAGGGGGAAGGACAAGACCTTAGTCAAATTTGCGAAATATATGAAAAGGTTTGCATAATTATCTTACCTGAATCTCCATGTGAAACGATGAACTCATTGCCATGTGACAAATTCACAGTGAATGAGGTGTTAAAGAAACTGTCCAATTTACAACGCAACTCGTATCTATTAAATCACACATAAACAATTAAATCGCCATCAAGAGATTATGGGAACATCAAATCAAGTAGTGTGGAAATATTAACTCTTTCTGGTGGAAATGTAGAAGAATTCAACGAATTAATTAAATAACTGTTTACTCAGTATGGAAAAAGTTAAAACAGAAAACAATAGGTGTTTCAACTGCAATTTAAAGATATGTGTTTTCAGGAATTGTAAAAAAAAGCATGTAATCAATTAAAACTGCTTTAAAAGGATGTCTAAAACAGAACTGTTGTAAGCACAGGAATCAAGGGCATTACAACTGGACCATGGAAAATCAACAGATGGTAATAAGTCAAAGAGACAATACCCTAAGGATGAGTCCCATATCCCAAACAGATCAAAGGAACAAAGAAAAGCTAACCAAACACTGAAATATAGAAATTAACTGGTCTTAAGTGGCGAAATACAGCTGAGAATAATTTATCTGCCCCATTTGAGATAAGAATTTCATCATGTAAATAAACCAGTTCACAAGTTAATGTATACATTGAAGGAAACCATTATATTGTGTTAATTGACAATTTTTATATAGCTGAATTTGTTTTATACAACCTGGTTATGAAAAGTAAGAAATTGTCTCCAGAGATAAAGAAAGGAGATGGATTGATGCAAACAAAAAGTGGACATGAAGTTTCAACATGAGGAAAGTTACAAGTCACCCTCACTATGGGAAGCTTCCTTACACCAGGTGATGTGTGGACAATTAACATCAAGGATGAGCGCATATAGGGAATAGACTTCACGAGGAAACCTGAATTTAAAATTAGACTTTTGACAGATATTTTCACAGTGTATGTGTTACATGACAATTACTACACTAGAGGTTGAGCCAAACACTCCAGCATATCCTGAGGGAATAAAGGCTGTGTAAGAACACTCATGAATCTGAAGAATAAAGATGTCATTATTAGGGCCATTAACACAGCAAACTATGAAGTCATTTCTGGATAGTACATTGGGAGTTGTAAAGCTGCACAGATAGTATTTCCACATCAAAGAGCATTAGTAGTAGCTACCTTCCAGACAAATTATAGGAGGTCTGACGTCAAATACTTGCATGACGAAAACCTACCATCTCACTTACATAATATAATATTAAGAGACCCTCTCCAATGAATCTCATGACTTAGGCAAGACAAATAAAATATCTAATAAAACTGATACTGGAGATTAAACCCAATAAAACTCCTAGTTACAAGACAGGCTAAGTTTCTAAATGAAATAGAAATCATGAGGGAAAAAATCATGAGTGGCAAATATTGAGCATCGCGCTTTGTATTGTGAAGAACGATGGATCCACAAAGCTCTGTATAGACTAACAGGAGGTGAATAAAGTCACAAAAAATTATTCTTATCACTGCCAAGGATTGACTGTACTAAGATCGATTCTCTTCAGAATTGGCTAACACCACTGAATTTGCATGATGTAAGACTTGAACTGTGATCTAATTATCACCATTTTGTAAAATCCCTCTCATACATAGTTCGTTCACACAAACTATTAGAATAACCAAACACGTTTTGCTAGGCTGCATATTGTGAAAAAGCATTCAAAAAAATTGAAGAAAGACTAACCTCCACTCTTATACTTGTATAGCTAACTCTTGAAGATCCCCTCGTAAATACAGATGACGCTGATTTTACAGTGAGAGCAGTGTTATCACAAGCACATCATCATCAAAAACATGTGATTACTTACAATAATAAGGCAATGTGTGCTGCAGAAGATGGTATCGTATAATTCAAAAAGAAACGCTGAGTGTCACTTGAGCCCTGAGTAATTTCCATCATTACCCATATGGATATAAATTTACACTCTATATACATCATGCAGCGTTAAAGAGACTGATAAATTTCCAAAATTGAGAAGACCATATAGCAAGATGGCTCCAAGAACTTCAGGAGTACAATTCTATCACCGTGCAACATCCTGGATGGAACCACTGAAATGCTGATGCATTATACCATCTTATTGCTTTCAATTTCTTTCTCCTCGTTAGCTAAGTTAGGTTGATACGAAACAATACTTGAATCGGCCTCCAACTCATCAGCTGAGATGAGATGAAACAAAACAATACTCGCACTGAATTAAATGAATTTTATGTTTAAATTGTGCAATGAAAAACTTCGTTTGTGGAAAATGAGAGTGAGTTTAAGAGCTCTGTCTGCAAAACTTGTGACGATGAACAAATTTTATTGTAACTAATAAGCTGTGAGTACTACTAAACATTTTAAGATAACTTATTTTCAAAGTTCATATTTGAGAATGGAATTTTTATAACTTCAAAACTGAGAATGTATGTTTTATTGAAAACTTTAGGATTGCATGTTCGATTCATGATACTACGTCCAAATATTTTACTTTGTTTTTATGAAACGTAGTGCCCCTATTAAGTAAAAGAAGCCATATCTTAATAAGTTGAAGACTACACTTTTGGAAATAACAGATTAAAGGGTGACATCTAGTGAAACTTTATATGCTTATAAAATAAATCTCC